CCTAACAGTTTTAAGAATTCAATTGTATTTTATTTTTGCAAGCTGATACTTCTGCTCCATAAATCACTTAGTACTAATGTTGTTTTGGACAGTAGCCATTTTATGGGCTGTGACAAGAATGTTTCCCTTGGTCGTGAAAGTTCTTCCTAGGCTTAATTTAAAGAAAACTTCTTACTTCATCGGAGATCAGCAGTCCCTCGAATACTTTATGGTTCTACCAATGAAAAAATGTCAGTTACTCTTAAAATATGAACTGTTTCTTCCACGCATCATTACATTAGTAATGTTGACAACATTTGGATAGCAAGCATCTGTGAGATCTGTGAATTGCTTCTTTGTATTCCAGAGCAGTTTTGGAACAGCTTGTCCTGTCTGTCTTAGGTAGAATGGAAGTATGAGAGGGCGCTGCTTTAAACATAAGCAACGTGAAATTAAGGGTGGGAAACTGCTATTCACCCACAGAAAACTGGACACAAATTACCACACTCGTCCAGAAGTTACAAAACCAGTTCATTATCTTGATCAAAGTTGGCAAGATCCTTGGAGCAAACTGAGCTTGACCTAAGGTTGCATATGCTGAAGTTAATAAAGGGACTTCGGTCAGTGAAGTTAATATACTAAACCCACCTGGCAAAGATGCATACATTGCATTTAGTATTTTGAGATTTCTTTTTTAATAGGCAAGTAATAAGCTTCATAATTATAAACTAAAAATAATAGCTGAGTGGAGTAGCAAAGAAAAAATATTGATGAGCCATTTCTCTGGTATAAACAGTTCTGTCCTATTTACCAACTGGTCTGAAAAATAGTGAAGTAAATCTGAGTCTGGTACTGCACGTTAGGAAAACGGAGAGTAACCTGGAGCATGGGATGAATGCCTGAGTAGATGTTTTTATTTTTCTTTTAGGGATAGGAATCGGGTTTCTTTTTTCACTCTTTGCTATAAAGCATGTGTTTCTGGGTGATTAGTGATACTGTGAGGATTCATCAGACTCTTGAAATGCTCAGGCAATTCCAGTTACTGTTGCTTTATAATGCCAAAGAGCGAGATAAATCTTGGCAGAGCCCTTGAATTGGAATGATGCATGGAGGCTAATAGTAACCCATTGCTACTTACTCAGTTGGATACAGGCAAACAGTGTTGTTGGCACTGGGCCTGTAAATTGTCGCTTCCCTTGAAGTGATGTTCGTACATTGCAATCATCCTTTTTAAGCTAACAAAAGCCTGTATCAAGAAAATAGTTCAGGTGTATTAATAGCAGCAGAGCTTGAAGTGCTGTTTCAGTTTCTGCCTTTCATGGAATGGACTGGAGGCTGAATGATGGCAGATACTGAAGTGAATGGATGTTATACTCACAGATACTCTGTTTTCCCAGGTTATTCCTCTGCACCTCCAACCTGCTTTTTCTTTTGTGGAAATTTTTCATCTGCACCGTATGGAAAAAATCAAATTCAGTCACTGAAAGGTGGGGAAGTCTTTGCATATAGTCAAACATGTACATTAAATTAAGGTAATGATGGCAAAACAAATTAAGGGAGCAGAAAAGAAACCCTTATTTTCAAAGTGACACATTTTTTAATGTACCGAAGTATAGGGGTGATTCATATAATGTGTGTTTACTGTCTAACCAGGTGGTGTATTTTTTTTTTCCTGACTCTAGGTTCTTTAAAGGCTCTTGCAGATATTATATGTGAATATCCCAGCATTCATAAAAGGTACACAGCAAAGCGCTATGAAAGGGGAAAATTGTTTATATTGTGAATCCTTTGCTTTAATTACTTTAAGAAACTAACAGATAAACATGTTTTCTCATTACTGTGAGCCAGCTATGATCAGACAGCAAGCTGGTCTCATAACAGGCCTGTAAGTTTGTTTTGGGAGCGGTGTTAAGGTTTTGGTTTTGTCTAAAATAGCTTGGTCATGGAAGCTGCTATTGAGTGAGCAAAGGTGAAGCTGCCTCTCCCCAGAGCATTTTCCACATGAATTGAATATGGCCCATGATTCCCCAAAAGTGCTATTTGGGTGAGCCCTTTTTTTTCCCTGGAATTCCCTTGACATCAGCAGGGTTCTGCCTGAGCAGTGCTGCTTTCTAAACTGATGTTGAAGTATTGATGCTGCTATGAGCACCTGCAGGCTTTCTCTTACCGGTCCCGGAAAATGTCATCTGAAACACTGACTACTGCCTACATGGAGACATCTCATTTTCTCTTTTCCATTCTTGCATACGTGGTTCTCCACGGCTGTTAGAGAACTAACCAAAGCAATGCAATCCTGCAAAGGAATCTTTTATTTATCCCTTCTTGTGTCCCTGCTCTGTGGGAGCCCCATTACAGGCCTGGAGAACTACACCCCTTTTTACAGAGATTTGAGTATACAAAGGAAAACAAAACAGGGAGACAGCCAGGCCTGTCCTTTCTGGCTTCTGATCTTTGAATTCGTAACAGTAGCGCCTAAGTAGAGCTAGTTCCTAGAATGGGCCCCAAAAGCAGGAAAGGCCACAGGCTGTGGCTCTCAAGCTCTGTGTGAGCTGTAAGCAAGCGTATCGGATGGACTGATCCTCCATCCTGTGTCCTGGTGGGGCTCTCTTGGTGTGCCGCTGCTGGATTATCTGGGGTCCCTGTATGAGATCCTGGAGCCCATTACCACTGAGCCCTGAGCCAGGCTGCACAACCTGGTCTGTCTCCCTTCTAGCAGTCCCCCTTGCACGGCGAACAGTTTTTAAGGTTTCTTCTGCTTTCGTGGGGAGTGGATATGTATCTTACGCCTCAGCTGTGATTTATGTGGTTCATAAGGCCAGGAAGAGCTGTCATCTCTGCCCCAGAATAGGTTGTTTGCATGCATCTGTGGAGTGATGGCAGCATATAACCAACGTTTAGATACTTCTAGGATAATTCTGTATAAAAGTGATATGTTGAACTTTTTACAGTAGTCGATTTGTGTTTGTTCCTGGCCCTGAGGACCCTGGTCCTGGTTCTATTTTACCAAGGTCAGTTTGCTTCACTTTTTCAAATTTTGGAATTTTTGAGTTAAATAGTTCAAGAAGGTTAGAGTACTGCTTGATACATCTGTTGCTATTTATTTTAGACCTCCCCTGGCTGAAAATATTACTGAGGAATTCAGACAGCTGGTGCCATTTTCAGTTTTCACCACAAATCCGTGCAGGTAACAGTGCAACTTACTGCTATTTTTCAGTTTGGGTTTTTTTTTTACTGAATGACTAATTTATGTGCAGATGTAATTTTCAAAATTTACAAATTTTGGAAAAATTTGTCTTAAATTTTTCAAATTATTAGAATTCCTCACTTGCATTAATTGTAACTAGTTTTAAATACATTAATACATAAATTAGCGGTGAAAGGAAGGAGCGCTAAAAGGCTTGATAGCGAGTATCAAAAGCATTGTGTTTTTCTGAATCTGGAAAGAATGAAGGGGAGACGGGAAAGTATTATTCTAATTGAAATGTGCTTTTTCGTTTTGCTGTATTAGAGGGAGATCAACTTCATAACGCAGCTCCCTATCTTTTAGTTTTATCTCAATTTATTTAATTTCATTAATGTTTTCCATTTAGGATGCAATATTGCACCCAAGAAATTATTATCTTCCGTGAAGATTTGGTAAATAAAATGTGCAGAAACTGTGTCCGCTTTCCTAGCAGCAACATGGATATTCCCAACCATGTGAGTGAGCTGTGTTCAGCACTTCTTGCTAAGACCTCCTTGCCTTCTTTTTTGGTCAGCAGGACTGCATTTAGGGTGCATTCTCATGACACATTGCAAGAGTAACCAAGAGGGATTGTAACAAGGATCTACACATTTAGTATTATTACCTTCATTTCCATCCTGACAGTAAAATAACTGAAACCATGATACTGATGGATGACATCGAGTCATTCTGCAGGTGCCCTTGAATGCAGAACTTCGTAGCAGCTGAGTCTTGGTGCATGTGCACCAGCAATGAATGTCATACCAACAAACAGTGATTCCTGAAGGCAAAGTTTAATACAAATTACCTTTTTTTTAAGATTTGATCAATTAACTAGTGACATTTGCAGTAAAGCAGCGTGTCACTTTTCCAAAAGGTCATCTGCTTCTCCTGCCTTCTCACTTGAAGTCTTAATCCTGCTTTTGATACATTGCCACAGCACTCTGAGTTATGATTCCAGTTAATGAATGCACAGCAGGAGTTGGTGGGACTTACTGATATAATTGAATGAGAATGATCCAGGCAGTATCGGCTCACTGCAGTGATGGATGGAGTCTGTTTCTATTTTTTTTCTATGGCTTTTTTTTGTTTGTTTGTTTGACTCAGAAACTTCTTTTAGCTCTTTCTTCCTTCACTTCATCACGCCAGGCTCTTGGGGGAGCAGCCTGGATCCAAGGAGGCTTTGGGGAGCCCTCATCGCTCCCTACAACTGCCTGAGAGGAGGGGGGAGCCGGGGGGGTCGGGCTCTGCTCCCAGGGAAGGGGCGATGGGACGAGGGGCACCGGCCTCGAGTTGTGCCAGGGGAGGGTTAGGTTGGACATTAAGAAAAATGTCTTCCCCAAAAGGGCTGTCAGGCACTGGTAGGGGCTGCCCAGAGCTGTGGTGGAGTCCCCATCCCTGGAGGTGTTCAAAAAAAGTGTAGACGTGGCACTTCGGGACATGGTTGAGTAGGCACAGTAGTGTTGGATTGACGGTTGGACTTGATGATCTTGGATGTCTTTTCCAACCTTTATGATTCTATGACAGTGCTCCATTTCTTTGTGAACATAGGGAACCCATTGTGGACACTGATGCACCTTGGTTTTGGTGTGCATGTTTGCATACGTGCATGAGTATACTGCAAGCCATCACTTCCCTTTACTCAGCCACAGCTTTCTCATGCTTGGAAGGGATCATGAAGGAAATGTAGAATTATGTATTGCAACACCTTCTGCAGATAAGGGTATTGAGTTGCTTTTGCATACTTCAGTGTTTCTCTGCCTTTTTTGCCTGTTGCTAGTTTTTTAATTCAGCCATCAGTGCAAAAAGATGAACGAGAGAGGGAAATTAGATTGAATAACAGTGACTTTAGGCCTCGTACAGTATCAGTGCAGTAACTGGGCCTATGCTTGGTGCATCATTTTCTTTCAACAGCAGACCCTTCCACCAAGTCACTGCAGTGATTTTGGCCCTTTGGGGAAAACGAAGCCTAATGGTGGCTACACGATTGATTAGAGACAACAAAAACTTTCAAGGGGCTTGAGGAGAGATTTTCAGGAACCAAAACACCATGGCTGGAATTTGCCAGATGAAAAAACAAATGCAAAGGGGCAGCTGGTGTCTGGAGCAGGGCGATTCCCAGAACAGCCAAGGGAATCGAAATCATTTGGGAATCAAATTATTTCCCCAGTTCAGGACAAAGACTGTGTTTTAACTGGGTTTTGTGGTTAACTGGTACTGTGAGGAAAGTCCTGAGGGGAAAAACCCACAAAGTTGTGGCAGTGTTGGTACTTCCTGGGTGGGAGGAGCGGGTGAGCAGATTCTGCAGTTTGTTGGAGAGTTTAATGGATGAATTAAGAGTTTTGACATCTTCAAGTGTTGGCTGATATGTTTTAGAGAGGACTTGGTGTATTTAAAAAAAACTCAACACAACAAGCAAACCAGCAGCTGACTGTTGTAGGGGAGTTGCTGCTTTATTCTAGAAATCGTTAATAATCAGAGGGAGCGAGATCCACAAAAAACGTTTCCAGGTTCAACGCTTCTTTATTAACAGCATTAGCATCTGCAGGCATGACTTTGACTTGCAGGAAACGGCTCAAACTCTTTATGTTTAACTTGCAGTTTGTAAAGACCATATTGTCGCAAGGACATCTGACGCCACTTCCGCTGTACGTTAGCCCTGTGTACTGGGCCTATGACTACGCCCTGAGGGTATATCCCGTGCCAGATATGCTCGTCATCGCGGATAAATACGACCCATTCACTGTCACCAACACTGACTGTCTTTGCATAAATCCTGTAAGATTTCCTTACGCTTTGCCAAAATAAGAAGGGGGTGCAGTCACATATTTATACAGCATTTTACTTACACAAGTGTGGTATATACATTTTTCTTTATAGGGTTCGTTTCCAAGAAGCGGATTTTCCTTCAAGGTATTCTACCCCTCCAACAAGACAGTTGAAGACAGGTAAATATATTCAGTTTCTCGTTTAAAAGGAAGTATCTTCTTATTTGCTGACTTTCTAATTATCGGGAGGAAGACAGAAAATCGATTATATAAACAGAGTGAATGTTCTACAGTTTAACGTAGACTTGTGCTTCATACCTAGGCAGTGCAAGAAATCCAGATACCTAGAACTAAACCAATAAATTGAGAAATTACAGTCAAATAGCAATGATGAGAAGCATGATCCAAAAGCAAAAGGAAAGACACTGTACTATATGATTTTCAGTAATTGAGACCTAAGTGGGAAAGGGATTCGTTTCTGGAGATGATGCTTGCTGCATAGGTTAGTTACACTTAGGAGCAATTCTTGGTTCATTTTGCGATCATGTCAAGCCCAGAAGCCACTTCCACGCTTTGATTTCATGTATTTTAAATCTGTACTTACTCATTCCAACTGTGGTCTTCCAACGACTGGCAAAAAAGGCCAGCTGCAACACCAAAAGGTATCAAAGGGCTTAAAGCTGCCATGGAAATTTGCCCTTTCGAAATAATGGTGGTAGAACCTAACGGGAGAAGTGCAAACTTGCCTTGTCTGCTTCAGTTCTGTGCCCTGCTGCAGAAGCTGGTTTTTTCTCAAACGGGGGCACGTAACACCCCCCACCCTCCCAAGGGAATTGCTAATACGTCGACCTTTACTCGAATATAGGAAATGTCATACTGTGAGATGCTTTAGGTCTTTAAATAGTTTAAAATGTTATCAAGTCTTTCATAAATCAAGAAATTGAATAATATTTATCGTGAAGTAGCTTTTTAAACTCAGTATTGTTTCTGTTTGGTATTTTCAGCAAGCTTCAGGGGCTCTGAATTTCTGCGAGACTGCCAAAAGGGAGCAAGCCTTTGTAAAGCCAACTGTAGCACTCGCTTGAGAGGGATTGATTTTTATGGTGTATTACAAGCTGTTTATAATAAACGTGAAAGCCAAAAATGGAGTATTTTGTACACAAACTTTTACAGGAAAAGATACTGGTGTTAGTTTAGATAAAATGTAGAGGCGTGGTGAAAATTAATTGGCAAAGTAAAATAAAAGAAGGCAACTGGAGGAATGAAATGCATGTGTCTCAAACAGGAAATATATTTTAAAAAAAAAAGTAAAAGCTAGGGAGAACTTGGTCTTTCACCAGGCCGAGTTGAGCAGATAGCGTCACCTACAGCAGATACTGGACATGTGGGCTGGGGTTTTTCTTTGGGTGGGAATGGTCTAGAGAAGATTTGTGAGGTGTTACTTATGGCAGTATATAATCTGTTAGCAGATAGCGTTACGCAGACAGGGCGAGGGGAGGTAAGAGGACCAAGGACACGATCCTGTGAAACTCCTGCAGAAAGCAGGGAGGAGGAAATCTTCCTGAAGGAGCAAGTGGGAAGGTGGGAAAGAGCCAGGGCCCGGCAGCGCTAACTTTGGCTGGGCTTACAGAAGAGAGCAGCCTGGCAGCACGTGGACCCGGACCCTTTGCAATGCTGCAGCCACTCGCACCGAGACCAGGGGAGCAGACTGGTGCCACCCCGAAGCGCCCAGATCGGGTGTAGAACAGACAGGGGCCCCTCAGCACCAGCCGTTCTCTTTCACAGACTCCATCCTGCTGCGCTGGCGTCGACGTGAGCGTGGCTGAGGGGGCAGGAGCAGGGGGAGCACAGCGGGGTACAGGCTCTGGAGGGGCCACTGGGGTGTGGGTGGAAGCTGGATACAAGAGGCAGGAGCTGAACTGCTGAGGGTCTAAACCCAAACCGCAGGAGAGACTGTGCCAGCCTGGAGACTCAGGAGAGGAGGGGGAGCGTGAGCCACCCCTGTGGGGGACGGGGGGGGGGGCTGAGAGCCAGCACGAAGCCACTGAGGAGAAAGGAAGGGAGAGGCTCGGCGAGGCCGGGAGGGCTGGCTCGGGAGTAG